GGGGGCCGGGCTTCGCCGGGGCCGGGCGGCGAGGGTCCCCGAGCCCCCAGGCCATCAGGGGTGGGGGGAGGCAGGCGCGTTCTGAAGAGCCGTGTTAAGGCTTACACGATTCCCAGACTGAACCAGCTTTCCGTCATTTGCCTTTTTTCTCCCCTTTGGTTGGTGAACGGAGTTCCACCTGCCCCGGCCCCCCAAAAAAACCAGAAACAACGGAAAACAAAGCGACCCAACGCTAAACATCTTGCATGTAATAGTCCTTGTTAAGGCAGTCTGGCAGCTTACTGAGGAGCCATTGCACACTCCTGACGGTCCAGGCAGCAGCGCCTGCTCTGCTTGTGCCACTGGGCCCCGTCCCCCCTTCCCAGGACATGGGTCACGGGGCAGGCGGAAACATCCCCTGGCTCCTCAGCTTTGGCACGCCGTGTCAGCCAGGAGACCCTGCGCTGGCCAAGCGTGTGGGGCCACAGGGCAGTGAGGTGGTGACAAAGGGGCTGCAGCTCCACACACTCCAAAATTAGCCATTTGAAGAAAAAAAAGGTTTAATCTGGATTGTTCAAACAGCTCTGTTACAGGAAGCACTCACCTTTTGCTGCTCTAAAGCTGAAATTCCTAGGACACTTGGCCATGCGGCTCCAGCTCCAGACTCTTTCCTTCTGTCAGTCATTCCAGCCTTCAGCAATTGTAGCCACGTTTGAAAAAAAAAATTGGATGGTCATTATTGCTAGGTTTTTTTCACCAGGAGACAAGCTTGCTGATCCAGTTTGCCACATGAGGTGCAGAGGACTGATGGAGCAAAATCAGAAGCAGTGATGGGTTAATCAGACCAGTGTAAAGAGCACTGTTGCTGCACATAAAGCTCCTTTGATCCTCAAAACTTTCCAGTTGTCTTCTAAGGGCTGTAGATATCTCAGGTCACGGCTAAGAGCAGTGCTGGATAAAGTAATATCCATTCAGCTACCTGCCTGAGAGCATGGAAAGAGACTAGTAAAATACGAGAAATCATCACCAGACTGTTTTTCTGTCATCCTAAAAGCTTTGCTTCCAACTCCACTGCTTCTTCACACGCTTATCCTTACAAACCCTACCCTGCCCTTGGGCCTCTTCATTTACTCCTAGTATTCTCTCCAGGCATATACCTCAATTTTTACTCTCATGGTGCTGCTTCCAGACATTAATGTCTGGAAACACATAGCTAGGGTTCCCAAACAACCTTAACTCTGCCCTAGAGGCAAAGATTTATGAAAAAATCCTCTCTGTTTAATATAAGCTGGGACCACAAACAACAAAATGTCTCAATCATAGTAGTGCAACGGCAGAAATTCCAGCCTACAGTTAGCCAAACGTAACCCACAGAGTGCTGTGTTCTTTTATTTTCATATTTCTGATTAGGCACACAACATAATGAAAGCCTTGCTCCCTATTCTTTCCTAAGACTGTATGACTCACCACTTATGTAAGCCTTAGGCAGGAGCTGGTCATAGCTCCACTGGTGATACTACATACTGGTTTGCAATTAGTGCAAGGCTTCAACCTCCCTGTTCTGTACAATAAAAATAGGTTCTCGCAACTTATATGTTGTGAACAGTGCAGCTTTGGGATCCCAGGAAAAGCAGGGAATCTGTAGGGAACTATGATAGTTAACAACTTAAAATTTTAGGTGGATTCTCTAAGGAGTTCAGCATTGGTATTTTCCTTCTCCCTCTCTCAAATGACTGGATAAATGGCTTGGAGGGTCTGAAGAGTTCAAAATCATCTGGCTTTCAGGTGTAGCTTATGGGTAAGAACAGTGAGATTTATTATGTGGCCTGACACATCATCTTTGATGCCGTTATAATTAATATGGGACAGCAATACTGAAAAAGCACAGTTATCACATGGTATCAGTAGTGGGAAGAGCAAAATTTAGTTCACTGTGCATTTCAGAACCTTAGCAAGTTTGGACTTAAATGCAAATCTAACCCTGTCATTCAGAAATAAAGAGCTCAGCTCTCCCTTCTCCCATTAATTTCACGTTAACACAATTAGAAAACTAGTGGATAGAGCAGGCTGGAAGTTGCTTCTTCCTCAACGCAGCTGCCTGACGCTTCGCCGTACACTCTCTGCGCAGGTTCTGTGGTTCCTAGTTTAGTAACTCACTACAGATCTCTTCTTTCTGGAAAGAAGAAAAAAAAAAAAAAAAGAGGTAGTTTTCTGCTCCCTGAACACAGCAGTGATACACTGCAGTCTTCACTGCGGCTTTTGCTGGCAGGGAGCAGGAACACAAGGCATTTCACTCGCTTCATAGCAGCTATCTCAGACCCATTTAAAAAGAAAAGAGGAATGACCCTTGTGTGAAAGATGTCAGACTTCTCTTTGCCTTTAATGATAGCAGAGGCAGCAAAACCAGGGTCGCCAACAGAAGTTAAGAATTACTAAGGAAATCTTCATCTTCGAAGTCTCAGCTGAAGTAACAGGACTGTACCACATCAGCAATATTGCGTGAAGTAGGAGTGTTGACGTCACCCCAGAGAGTAGCATAGCAATCCCTTGAGGGCTGGGTAGATGGACAGAGCCACTGAGTTAGTAAGCGTATATTCAGCATTTAGCTTGAATGTTAGAACATGGAAGTTATAAATGGCCCTAAGTAGCAGAGAGTGTTTTTACCATGTATCTAATATATAAATACCTCTCCCAGAGGAGATAAACTCCCAAGTGCAGACTTGCCAGCACATCCTGACTCCAAGACATGTGCACTACTCAAGCCGTTCAAAAACTGGACTATCAGCAATTTTGTATAATAGTTTTGTGTAAACTACAGTTGCTGAATTAATGATCTAGACAATAAGATGCCATATTACCTCTGTTTTTCCAACCAGGATTTCTTTGTACTGTGCTATCATTTCCTGAAGCGTTTCCAAAGGACTTTAAAGATTTCTGGCCTTCCCTGAAAGACTGCATCCATCAGATGGGAAAACCAATGCAGCAGAGGCAGTATAGTACTGCATCCAGGGTTACCCAGAGGTTTATAGCAGGAGAATCCAGATCTCCCTGCTCCTAAAAAAGAAAACAGGTAGATTACTCCACATTTTAAACCATCTCAGTGACTATGCTACTTAACTAATTTCTTCCTAATTTTTCCTCATGATTTAAGTAATTTCTTGGCTCATACATTCGGAGTAAGCCAACTTTGGATAAAGCTGCTAGGTGGTCTCTTCACATCTAATCTTTCATCATCTTTATGTATCATCTGAGAAAGCACAGCCACCACCAGCACAAGAGACACTGCATCGTCCTTCCTTGATGAACCACTGAGATATGGCTGTTCCTCAACACCTCCTCCCTCCACGAGAGAAAACTGCTTAATCTGTTATTACTAGATTTGACATAGGAATCACAGCAGTATGCAAAAAGAATGCAAGTCAGGTATTATCCTACCAGTTTGATTATTCATCTACTCAGTTTGTTCTTTTAGAAATAAAATTATTTTATGTTGGAGGGAAGTGTTACTCTTTTGAAAGAACATTAGTCAAGTTACTGTTTTCTCTAAGACTGTTTTGTCAAATTATTTGCTTAAATTACTGCTTCCTATGACAGCTTTCCCTGAAGGATACATTCTGTAACAGAAACTTTCATACTGCTTTTTCTAGTTACCTGGTGCCTGCCTGGAAATCTTTGTCACTGGGAAAGTATGGTATATCATTATATGTGGATTTTTGTTTAATAGGTATCAATGTGTAACATTTTAAAATCTATTAGAAAATTCCCTCCCTCCTCACCAATGCTGTCATTTTCATGCTGTTACACAGTAGTATCATTTACTGAACAAATTTTGTGTATCTGCTCAGTTGTAGCAAATGCCAAACATTCTCCCTCTGTGAAGAGCTTTTTCCTTACATACTAGTGATGGGGCATTACAGGTACTGGCAGTATTCATTCACTACCCAACTGAGTCAACTGGTAGATGGGAAAAAAAGCCCTCATTCAATTGCAGACTAACATTGATATAACCAAGTGCACTTCTCACACAACTGCGGAATCAAGACATAAAGGTCTCTTCAGATGGCTACTAAAAATCATTGTCATCGCATGTCTTCATGGTTTTTGAAAAGCATGTCTCAAACTGTATCTGGAGTTCAGCCAAAAATGGAGCCCGCAATATCATTCTTTATGAAAATCAACCAAATACCTGTGCAACAGGCTATCCCTTTTTAGGAACGCAACTCACCTCTAAATGTCCTTTCCATACAGCAATATCAATAAGCACACAGAAACTGTTCTGTGGCTGTTTCAATCAAAGATAACATGCATTTTGGCTCTGAAGAAGGCTAGGTCCTTCAGGAACCGCATCAGCCCATCCATGTCAGTGGAGCTGTATTCACAACAGCTGAGGAACTGGAAACTTCTTAGTCCTAATGACTCAGTAGCTCAAAGAAGGGAAGTTCTGCAAGATTTTATGAACAACAACAAAAAGCCCATCAAGTCCTTTTGAAAGTCTTGTCCCTTCTGTTGTAGCTTCTTCAAAGGCAGAGAACTGCACTATTGGAAGATAGTCAGAATTAGCCCAGTTTAGTGATCTTGGAATCCAAAGCAAAGGTGACCTTGTGACTTGAGTACAACTGTCTATAGTTGACTACCATCTGAAGCCAAAACTTAGAGCCCAATTCTCTACAGCTTTACTCAGGATAACATTTATTAGTTGTAGTAGACTCGATTCTCCACATGGTGTAGCCCTTTGAGAAGAGGCTGAGCCACAGTATGAAGTTATGGATTTAAAATTACTCCTCTCCATTTTTAATCACCATTTCTATCAATCTATCCATTCATCATCTTGCTAATATTTCTTTTGTGGTGGAGCCATTATTGTTCAGAAGAGTCACCTACAACCTTTAGCAGAATCTGTTTTCTCTAGGTCAGAATTTAGTTCTTATACCAGAGATGAGTGGGTTTGCTATACCAGACTTAAGTGTTCAGTAAAAGAATGAACACAGGAGAATAAACACCTGGAAGAAAGTAAAAGGAGAACAGGACTGGGGGGGGACATCTTATTAAATAAAGCAAGAGGTTTTTACCTCCCCCTTTACAAATATGGTTTGAAACCAGAATGAACAATTATGGTAAGTTTTAACTTCTGTTAAGATACTAGTGCAGCACATTTTACCCAAACAGTGTACACAGTCCCCATAACTGCTTACAGAACAATTCAGGTTTTTGCTATTTAGCTTTCTAGGTTTTTGTTCAGCTGCATTTGTCTCCTGAGCTGTGTGGGTAGTAGGTCACATCATCTACATTGGCATGACATTCTTGGAGTAGCGTGGTGCTCAGCTTTTAGCATCTTTACAGGAAAGAAATTTTCAGTAGTTCTTGTGGTATACTTTTTTTTCCAGTGTAAAATTATACTCACTGTTTCATGCTGAAAAGTCCTTCCTTAATAAGATTTAATGATTTTTTTTCTCAACCTGATTCCTAAATGAACATCTGTATTTTGATCGTTCTTTATCCACTTTTGACTGAGGTAAGAAAACAAATTATAAAAACACAAGCATTCCAGATGAGTGATTTTTGGAATCATACACAAATAAATTAGCAACTACCAACTGCAGCACTGAATACTTGAAAACTGAGAAGGCTAAAATACAAGCTTTTAAAA